TGTTGAATTCTGGGAATTCAATGTTCATTAACCGACCAACTTTGGTCGGTATTTTGGAATAATTTATTTTTTTTATTAAAAATCGACCAACTTTGATCGGTTTTTCTGGGTTTAATTTTGGCATAAAATGCCTGTTTTGGCAGCTATACCACCTGCCAGCATACCAATACAATACAACAACAACAACAACAACAACAACAACAACAACAACAACACAACAACAATAACAACAACAACAAAAACAACAGCACAACAACAACAACCAAAACATTCAATAAATACTTTAAAACTAATAAATTAAAATTCAATTGAACATAAAAATTCAAAACCAAATTAAAACTAATTACAACTAGTTTAAAACTGGTTCTATTTGTCTAGTTTAAAGTATATAAAAGTTAAGGGGTATTTTCTACAACATCATCATCACCGTCTGATGAAATTTCATTTACAAGACGATATAGAAAACAGTCTTGTGGAGGACGGAAAGCACGATCATGGGGAGGACGGGAGGAATGATCACGAGCAGGACGGGAGGAACGATCACGTGGAGGTCGACCCTCTGGAGATGACTCACGAGATCGGGGCAACGGAAAAGCTCGACTAGATAGGAGAGTTCTGATCTGAGCTTGCATGCCAAGGAATTGAGCATCTCTAAGCCTTTCTCTTTCCTTGGCCGCTTCTAGCTCTGATGTGAGCTTTGTCACTGTCTCCCGCATAGCGGAGAGGCTCTCCCTATTAAGTTGCTCGCCTTGCGAGGAAGTCCCTATTCCTCACATTCCACACTTATAGCGATGGAAGTTTTTAGTAGGAAGCCCGTATANAATTTAATTCGTTTACTTAATACTAATAGCTTCTTTCGTTTATTTAATTTGTGATATATATATATATATATATGTCAAAGATGTTTAATATTAATTCTTTTATTTTTCATTCATTCATCACTAATAATGCATGGCATAGCTAGATTAATCGATATAAGTCAAGACGTTTTGTTCTTACT